ATCGAAGGACACGGGTCGTACAGTTGTCTTTCGCAACGTGCTGCTCGTCCCGGACCTGACCAAGACGCTCATCTCCATCAGCCGGATCACCGACAGCGCAGATGCCGCATCCATCCAGTTCAAGCAAGATTACTGCAACATCCGATCGAGGACACACCTGTCGATCGTCGGCAAGTGGAACGCGGCGCGCTTGTACGCGGTGCACAGGGACGTCATCAAGCCGAGGCCAACGGCAGACCAAGCGACCGAAGCAGAGGTCACCGAACCGATGCTGTGGCGTGCGCTGCGGTCCCCTGGAACTCGATGTCAGCAATGATCAAGGCCACGAAGGGAGGACCTACTAACCTGAAGTTGCCGAACAGCCTGCCGTGCAAAGGCTGCCGTTAAAAGCTCCACGACCCTAACTTGGCGAAGCGAACTAATACAAAGGACGATGCCCTCAACGTCAGCCCGGACGACTGCCATTACTTGATATTGATATGACGCTGTAAAGTTAAAATCACCAAGTGCCCGCTGATGAATTTAACTTTACAGCGTAATATCAATTTCAATATGCCATTACTGCGGAAAGACTGGCTACTACAAGGCAGACTGCCGTCGACGTCCCGCCGACAGAGAGAAAGGAATTTACGGCCAGAACGTGCGCCAACCCTCATGGACAAACAGCGGTCGTGGCGACCGTAGCGGATGGAGGCGGCATGACGACGGCAACTACGTCAAGTTGACGATGACGAAGACCTATTTATGACCCAAGAGATAAGCACCGCTCAAGCCGGCGGCGACATGAAAACTTACCGTCACTCGACAGGTGGCCCAAAGGAACTCGACGATGAGATCGACGAAGTGACGGGCGACCTGGCCAACTATGCAACGACGCTAAGTGACGACGAAGATGAATGTCCACTCACCCAAAACCGAAGTGATTGTGGACAGCGGCGCCACGTGCCGGGGAACGAAACCATCCTCCACGATGCGATCGCGTGCAAGCGCGGCGTCCGACTCGCCGACGGTCACCCAATCTCCTTCACTACGATGGGGGATGTGAGCATCACATCGAAGGACACGGGTCGTACAGTTGTCTTT